AGGAACAACACCTATTATCATTCTTTTTTTTGGGGGGGGGTCCGGTTGTGGGGCCTGAACTCTGGGCCTGGGCGCTGTCCCTCAGCTCTTCAGCTCAAAGCTAGTGCTCTACCACTAGAGCCACAGCGCCACTGCTGGCTTTTTTTTTTTTTCTTTTTGCTTATGTGGTGCTGAGGAATCGAACCCAGGGCCTCATGCATGCAAGGCAAGTACTCTACCACTGAGCCACCTTCCCAGCCCTATCATTCTTATAATGATGGTTTTCAACAACTTGTCTTGTGTGTGTGTGTGTGTGTGTGTGTGTGTGTGTGTGTACCAGTTCTTGGAGCCTTATGGCCTCAGTTGGCTTTTTTACTCATGGCTGGCTTGAGCCACGGCTCCACTACCAGATTTTTATTGATTCACTGGAGATAAGAATCTCGTGGACTTTTCTGCCCAGGCTGGCTTGAACTTTGATCCTCAGCTCTTGGTCTCCTGAGCAGTCATCTAAGGCTACAGGTGTGAGCCACCAAGGCCCAATTCAACAACTTTTTCCAACCCTCAACATCTCTTTTTTTAAATGACGCATTGGGATGAACTTTCATCTCCTATCCTAGACATGAGTAGGCCTCGTCCTTATGCTGCAGTATCATGAACACTTTGGCTTGAGATTAAGTGATATATGACTGGAACTGCAAGCCATGTTAGCAAATATATTGATCTATATGAGGTAATATGCTTGTATCTGTTTATAAATGTGCCATGTTTCATTTCTTCAGTCCCTTCTGCCCTTACCAGATTAACTGGAGATAGTAGTTTGATTTTCTAATTTGTTTGTCTTAAAACAGAATAAAAATTCCATTTTGGGTTCATGTACCATGGTTCATACCTGTAATCTAAGCCACTCAAAGGGGTAAGAGAATCTCAAGCTAAGACTGGTCAAGTAAAAGCACAAGACCCTATATGAAAAACAAAAGCCCAAAAGACTGAAGGAATAGCTAAAGTGGTAGAAGGCTAGTCTAACAAACAGGAAGCTCTGTATCTTCAGAAAAAATAAACAAACACGCTGGGTGACGCCTGTAATCCTAGCTACTCAGGAGGCTAAGATCTGAGGATCGTGGTTCAAGACCAGCCCAGGCAGGAAAGTCTGTGAGACTCATCTCCAGTAAACCACTAGAAAACCGGAAGTGGCGCTGTGGCTCAAGCAGTAGAGTGCTTGCCTTGAGCTGAAGAGTGCAGGGACAGCGCCCAAGCCCAGAGTTCAAGCCCCATGACCGACAAAACACACACACACACACCAAACAAAACAAAGGCTCCTTCATGTATGAATTTCTGGGAGATGACTGTCATTCAAATTTAAAATTTGATTAGAGAAGGGAGCAAAAGCCATAGCTACTTATCAAGAGCAGCCGAAACCCATGTATGCTTCTGGCTTACCATTCTTATCACTAGAAGATGTTTAGCAAAAATCTTTTTATTATTTCAGAAACCAGGGTGCTATTCCTATCTTGAAGTACTTCAGCAGACAAATCTGGATCCTCCCCAAAAAAACAAACACTGACATTGAACTACAGTGCCCCCTGGCTTCCATATTACCAACTTACATATGCCTCTAAATTAAGTCGATAACAGAAAATGCATGGTTATCCTCGCCCCAAAATTCCTTAGACAAATGCGTTAGGGATATGCTCAAAATATCATAAGTTGTTTAGGGAAGAGACGTAAAGATTACACGTGGGGAGTGAAAGCGTGGCTCAAGCTATGAGCAGAAAAAGTTCAGTGAGAACGTGAGGCCAGGAGTTCAAGTCCCCGTAATAGGATACAAAAAAACAAAAACAAAACAAACCCTCACAAATTTTTTCTAAGTGAGTGACAAAAGCAAGCAAACAACAATACCAAACAATCAAAAAACCATAGCTGGGCTCTGGTGGCTCATGCTGGTAATCCTAGCTACTTAGGAGGCTAAGATCTGAGGATCGAGATTTGAAGCCAGCCCAGGCAGGAAAGTTTGTGAGACTTTTTTTAAAATATATATATTTTATTGTAAAGATACTGTACAGAGGGGTTATCGTGAGACTTTTATCTCCCATTAACCACCAAAAAAAAAAGAAGTGGAACTGTGGCTCAAAGTGATAGAGCCCTAGCCTTGAGCAGAAAGAGCTCAGGAACTGAGCCCAAGTCCAGAAGACCAACAACAACAAAAACCAAAAACAAACAAACAAAAAATAATGGCTTTCCTCTTTTCTCTGAGGCAATAGCCAGTATTTCCTAAATGCAGGTCAAAGAACTTGAATAATAGAAAGACTTGAAGTATGTTACTTGCAGAGTTTGTAGAACAAGTTAAATCATAACCTTTATGTGTTTACAGTCTTTGGCCAAAATGAGAAATAAAAAATATGTTCATACATTTACCTAAAGAAATGAAGTACCAACTACACCAAAGAATGTATGATTTTTTATTTATTTTTTGTCAGTCATGGGGCTTTTCCTCAAGGCTAGAGCTCTACCATTTGAGACACAGCACCACTTCTGGTTTCTAGTGGTTAATTGGAGGTAAGAGTCTCACAGACTTTCCTGCCTGGACTAGCTTTTTTTTTCTTTTTTTCAGTCATGGGGCTTGAACTCTGGGCTTGGGCACTGTCCCTCAGCTCTGCAACCCAAGGCGAGCACTACCACGTGAGCCACAGTGCCACTTCTAGTTTTCTGAGTGGTTTCTTGGAGATAAGAGTCTCATGGCCTTTCCTGCCTGGTCTAGCTTTGAACCATAATACTTAAGAGCTCTGCCTCCTGAGTAGCTAGGATTACAGGTGTGAGCCAGTGGTGCCCAGATGAATTAAACCTCATATTTTAATGAGTGAGAAAGCAAATGCAAAATGAAAATGTGCTTTCTGCTCTCTACAGCCAGTATTTCATGATTCAAGGTAGTGTTGGCAAGCCTTTTATTGTGGAAGTATGGAAAAGCTTCCTTTTTTTTTTTTTTTT